CAACTGTTTTTTTTTTTATTTAACTGCATAAACATTTCGATATTTCCAACTTAGATACACAAAGTCATAAGAATAAATTTATATCTGAAATGCATTTATATGCAGTTTTCATCCAGAGAAAAGCAAAATTTGTACACTAAATTACACACCTTCATAATTAACTACTCAAATAACACATAAAGGCAGAGGTGAGGGGAGAGATGACGCATGCGCATATCGTACACGTGACGTAAATAATTATTTTTATTCCCAAACGTTACTCACTATTACCCAAAGCTTGTACACTAAATTACTTCTACCGTTTTCCCCTCGTTAAACCCCATTTTCATTGTTTTACTATGTTACAGCAGAAACCTTCACTGACGTTAAATACCATAAATTCATCTAAAAATTAACCTGGGTTTTCTATAGGAAGTAAATCAAGACTGTTATTCTAAAAAAAAGTATATCATTACAGTGTATGTTGCACCGAGTCACGCTACGAATATGCTGAACACATGGCATGGATTTACAACAAGTCCAAACAAGTTGAAAAATAAATAACTTAAATGTTTATACATCACAGTCATTTCAGTGATAACGACGTTTTATTTAGAAATTTAATTTACTTAAGCGACCAAGTTTCTCGTCAAGACACGCACGAATTAGATGACAATATCGAAGAAAATATATTTTCGTATTTTCTGGCTATGAATTTCTCTGGGAATTTCCTTTCGCCATTAAAATCAAGGGGTTGTTATTTAAAATGGAACCATTCTATTCTACGCTATGAGTCAATTCTAATAATATAAAGTAATGTTACAATCTATTTTCGAACACAAAAAAAAACCTAAAACTGTTTTGCTTTATTAATTGTTACTTTACACTTGATCGTGACGCATGACAAACTCGAGGACAAACTAATAGGTAGGTACTTCAAAAAGCACTCAAGTTATTTTAAAGGATAGATTCAATTAAGATAAGGATAGACAGAGACAGGGATGATATATGCAAAAAGCAGGAAAAGAAGTTTACAGGTATTTTCAATTTTAACCCTAAAATAAATATACCTAGGGACTTACTTGTCATAAAACAGTGTTATACCAAGCCCCTTAAGATATACGAACAATCAAGTTTTTCTATCATTAGACAACAATTCAATTACAATGCAAATAATATTTTTATTGATATTCTACCAGTACACCAGTTCTTAAATATTCAATTATTATTTTTTTAGTGATTAATAAACAATAACAAATGTATTAATTCCTTTTTCTAGTATTCTAGAATAGTATTTTTTAATAGTATTTCTAGTATTGTGAGCACACGCTATTTCCCTAACTGTTGACTTAATCAAATATTTTTACGATTATCCATAAAGCGACAAAACACCGGATACCTATGTGAAAATAAGTTGTTATCAAATCTATAAATCATAGTCAATATCGCTGATGAAGATTAGATAAGGATTAATACTTAAAAAATTTATTAAGGAAAAATATTTATGTTTCTAAAAAATTGTTGCATCCACAAATAAATCTACAGCTTAATCAATTACTTATTATTGACAGATATTTAGGTATGTTTACTCTAAGATGATTATAACCCTTCAATATAAATACTCAGGTAGGTACTTACTGACAAATTTTACACCCTTTTTGTGCCAAAGCGATCTTAATTTACCATAAGAATTACCGAGATTTATTAAAAATAAAGAAAACCAAAGTTATATTTGTGATCTTTCCCAGCTGACAAAGATACCTTACAATACGAGCTAATACCAAAGTTTACAGAATAAATATTCAGTAAACTTTGCTAATACTGTCTGCTTGATTATAAAGGCTCCGAGTAGGTACTCCGAGCTCGTTACCCATTTTTGTACACCATGTAGTACCTATATACAGGGTGATTATTCAAAAAAATTGGGAATAGATGCGGTATGAGAAATGGTGTCAATATCGACAAAAATTTGTTTTGTACAATCCTTATAGCTTCCGTGAAAAAAAATATTTATAGTTCGGGGCCTTCATAATCAAACTAAACTATACTATAAAAAGAGGAAGAGAGAGAACATGCGACAGAAGAGGAGAGAAGAAAACGACAACACATTAAAATACTGTTTTTCAATAAATATGACTGTATTTTTGTTCAAGAAATTTATAAAAGAATAAGAAATGCAAATTATGATATATGCAAGCTGTTTTATAAAAAACGCCCCAAACTGTAACTGTTAATAATTGTTTTATTTTAAAAATTAGAAGACTGTTATTAACGGCTTGACAAATACTACAATCCAGCACTGATTTTAATTTTTTTTTGCCATCATCAGAACGTTAGACGATTTTCAATTGTTTTTTCTTAAATGTCAAGTTATAATTTTTTTTGCCTGTTCGATAGAGTATTATTTTCTGCAGTCAACGATATATTACAACTTGATATTTGTTAAATATTTTGTGGAAAAACTAATTTTTTACAAAATTTATTAGAGAAATTGTTATGTCTAATTCACGGCAACTTCTGATAAAAATGTCAAATTGGTCATGAAAACAATTAAATTTAGAAGCATTAACTGTCACGTACGCGTCATTTCCTAAGCAAAATACGTATCAGTGTATTGTCAAGTGGTTATTAATTACAAAGAAATTATTGTAACTTAAAAAATATGAACACTAATGAACTGACCGATATTTTGCAAGTATACTTTCAATGTAATGAAAATAGTGCCCAAGCAGAACGTCTGTATGCAAATCGGTTTCCAAACAGGGATGTTCCACAGCATGAAAATTTAAAAGACTTGAAGACAATCTCAGAATGCATGGTGCTTTTAAAAAGCATAAAAATTCCCAACGCAATGGTCCTGTAGAATTAGACGTTTTGCTTAGTATAGAGGAAAATTCACAAGCTTCTACTCGAGAAATTGCAAGTAATATTAATTCTTCAAAAGACAGTTTACAAAATCTTAAAAAATCTTAATCATACATACCACAGAAAGTGCAAGTGTTAGAAGACTTCGATCGTGTCCGAAGGGAGCAATTTTGCCATATTTATTTAAATATGATACAAGACGCAGGATTTTGGAGAAAAATTATATGATCACTTTTTGGATACCTTACCGCTTGCAGAAGTAATAGGATTTATTTTCAACAAGATGGTACTCCCCCGCATAATGCTAGAAGAAACACTAACTGGTTAAATGCTAATTTTGATGAAAGGTGGATTGGCATGACTGGTCTTGTTCGATGGCCCGCCCGTTCTCCTGACCTCACCCCCGCAGATTTTTGGTTTTGGGGATATGTTAAAGATCAAGTATTTTTGACACACCCGGAAAATGTAGGTATTTTAAGAGAGAGGATTATAAACGTTTGCTCTGAAATACCTCCAAACTTAACATCAAATGCTACGTATGAAGTAGCCAGAAGATGACAATTTTGTATTTATTCAACAAGATAGAAGACAGTTCGAACAATTTTTATAATGTTATTTATTGTTACATTTTTGTTTTGTCGTTGATCTGGTATCTATTTGTTTTGCTTTGTTGTTGTTACTTTAGACATAGCATTTCTCTAATAAATTTTGAAAAAGAAAAATATTTTTTCCATAAAATATTTAACAAATATCAAGTTGTAATATATCGTTGACTGCATAAAAAAATACTCTACGGAACAGGCCAAAAAAAATAACTTGACATTTAAGAAAAAACTATTGAAAATCGTCTAACGTTCTGATGATGGCAAAAAAAATTAAAATCAGTGCTCGATTGTAGTATTTGTCAAGCCATTAACAACTGTCTTTTGTTTTTTTAAATAGAACAATTATTAACAGAGTTACAGCTTGGAGCGTTTTTTATAAGACAGCCTGTATAATAATGGTGAAAAGTTCATAAGTTTTATTATATTTAAGTAATAAAAAATATTTTTAGCGACGTTCGAAATTTAAACTCTTCGCCATACAATAACACGTTTTTTTCCAAGCATATGACATGAAAGGAAACGCACATCACAATTTCCATCCAGAGAGAACATAGCAATATTTTATCAGATAACGAATCAAAACTTGTAAAAATTATAATTTGATTTTCTAATGAGGTTTTCTACCTACTATTTTAGCGCCTACCCAATGATCTATAAGTAGGCAGACAGACAGAAAATTAAAAACGAAGCATAAAATCTTAGATAAAAAAAATACAAGCAAAGGCAAACAGACTGTTTCCGTGGGTAAATAATGCAACATTGGTATTTCCAAAACAAGCAAGAGGAGGCTGACTTTACCGGTTTCCGTGGGCGAAATAACCAAATTTTAAAAAAACAAAGCTAAAGAGCTGCAGCAGCAGGTGCAGAATGTATCCGAGCGGAACCAGCGTCATTATAATCAATTTAATTATCATCTGTCTTGTCCCAAGTTCTTAAAATCCTATGGTTGAAAAACGACACAAGCTGCACACACTATTTTTTTCTAGTAGAAAAATTGTATATATGTTATAAATTAAATTATAAACAATCTGTTTTAGACACTAGTGAAATAAACGGTATTATTTTAGCACAATTAGGTCTTATTTGAATAAAATTTAATATAAATCTAATCTAATCTACAATTTGAAATTTGTAGGTTGTGATGATGGCCAGCTTGCCATATTAAAGTGTAAACAATTTAGTAGTGAAAAAATAAGTTTTTACGTACTCTATAACAAGGGTAATAATAGTATTTTACGCAAGCTAAGCAGAAAAACGCGTTTTCAAAACTAACAGCGTCTACCTCTGGGTTTTTAACGCGGCATGACACACTTAGTACTTAGTGCATACTGCATAGGTGGCTGTGATGAAACTCTACATGAGCTGTCACTTTTCATTCTCATCCTTTTTCGACGGATTAAAAATGTCTCGAGATAAGATATGAAAACGATGACACTTTATCATAGTTTAAGTAAACGACAGGTCGGATTAAGTGTTTCCTTGTAAACAAACAAACTAATTAATATACGATCTACGCTTCCTAGAAAGTACCCAAACCAACGTAAAACTTACACAGACTTGAGCTCGCTTGCATACATAAACAACAAGACTTGTGTGCTGTTTCCAGTATTAAGTAGACATAACAGTTCACTGCACTGCACTTTTCTCGCGACCGAACACTATTTACGACCGTTTTTTTGCACTCGTACGGACACCAATATTACTATAAACCGATTTATGCAATGGTTCCAAAAACGAAGAGTCGTACGCGACGCTTTTGTTCACGTTGTTTCAACCGACTGAGCGAGCGGAGAGAGAAAACCGGCCCGACAAGCGAGTAGGCCAGGTACACAGGCATGCTGAGGCCGCACTGTTTATTGGTACCCGGCTGTGGGTTAGGTTAGTCACAGCCGCCTGCATTGGCGTGCGTGTGGATAAGAGGGCGCACATGTTGCTCCGGAGGACGCTCGAGAGCGTTGATCGCGTAATTAATAAAGATGTTAAGCGGTAACAGTACGGGACTGGAGCGGAAAATGTTACTTTTGATAATTATTTAGAATAACGAATAGCACGGACAGAAATTTACTTTACGCCCTATTTTCGAAGGTGCTGAACAGAAATTTTGTGCGGGCGAATCTAGTTTTCGAGAAAACAAAATATTTAAAATTATATTCTGTATAATATATAATATACTAGAAAATATAACTATTTACTGTATTATTACAGTATGAAAAAAATGTAACAAACATTTATTTATATAATAATTTTCGGGATACATATTTTTAAAAATTTAATGAAAACATGCATTTTTTAAATTTAATTACGAAAGGGAAGTGTTGGCTGGAATATCAAATTGAAAATATATTTTTTTCTTTAAATTTCTGAAAATACATTTCTCAGGAGTTATTGGATCTATGTTTTAAACTATATACAGGGTGTCCGGAAAAGTCATGTCAAAAAAATGGGGTATACAGGAGACATCAAAATAGTTGTAGTAGTTCATATTTTTTTCTTGTGGAGTTATTTACCTTCAAAGAAAAAAGCACAGACAAAATAGCTGTCGCCACAGACCGCTACTGGAATAGGCCAGCAGTTTTAAATTTCCGAATTGCCGGCAGAGTACACCACCAGCAGAATGTTAGGAAGAATCAAATACAGCGGCCTACATTCTTACGTGTGTCCCAGGAACATATAAACAACGGTTTGGCAATATTGTCACGTGTACTTACGGATTTATTTTGTACACATTTTTATCAATGCCAGTTTTTTGCGTTAATGTATTTACTTAAATGTAGATATTAATAAAAATATTTTAAAGAATGAACGAATAGGTACCTCTGTATTCAACATAGACGATCGGATATTCTACAGCGGTTATTTAATCATAATTTGGTTAATTAGCTACTATTTCAATTTTTTGGTATTGAAATACATGCTGCAGAAAATATATTTCCAAATAAACAAAATTCGTAATAATATTTTAAACAGCTTGTTAATATACATTTTTTAATATTTGATGAGAAATTTATTTAATATACAAAGTGGATTATTAGTACGTCGCGTTTGTATTTTGACATCCACTTATAAGTTTAATAATTAAAGATAGAAAAAACCTAAATACAAATGTACGACTATTTTTTTTATTTCTTTTGACATCAAAATTTGCTGGCATAAAATACGTTTAAAGTAAAAAATAATTAAAAAAATTAAAATTCAATAACAAACAACGATTTTTAGAACTAACCTTTACCACAACATATGTAAGGAGGATATCTAAAAACGAAATAACATTAAAATATCTGCAATTTTTACAAATTTTCAACATGAAAGTAATTGTGATGATACAGTTGAAAATATGCTTTAATTTACTATTTATTGCTTTAAAAACAAATTCAGAATTATCACACATTTCGTCCTGTATTTTTTCTTTCAATACTTGTAAATTTTGAGGTTTTTAATAATATATTTCGTTGAAGTGTCCCCACAAAAATATGTCTAAAGGACTGAGATCGGGACTGTTTTCTGGGCACCTGGTTTCTGATAATATTTTTTATAGTGTTCGTTGACGCGATCGTCCTCCAAAATACATTTGCCAATATTCCTGAAGAACTTTTGCACATTATTGTTATTTGAATAATACGGTTTAATTATGTTTTATTTTTCGTCATCAGAATAACCCATTTTATTTTTTTTTAATTTTTTAAATTAAAATGGATTATTCTAATAATGGATAAATCCCATGTATTTTTAAAGGAAGGTTCGATTCTGTCGTTTTTGTCTAATTGTGTGCGAAAGAGATCGAGTGACTTTGTCCTCATAAAAGGTTTTCCTCTCTCTGTCTGTTTCTCTCTCTTCTGGAATTTCTAGGGCCTCCCCTTCAAGACACCTAGGGAGGGAGCCTTTTTAGTCTTCATTATCGAGCTATGACGTCACAATGCATTCGAAAAAAAATCGTTTTTTGCTCGTAACTGGAAAATGGCTGGGAATATAAACAAATCTTCCCTTGGTTCTGAGTAGAGCACTCGGTGGATGAGGCAGAGTGGGGCGTCACAATATATGAAAGAAAAAAAACAGTATTTGCTTGTACCTCAAAAATACTCGAAATATCAAAAAATCTCCCATGGTTCTGATTGGTGATCGAGTGAAAAACGTCCGAAGTCAGCATGTCCAAAAAGCTCTGTGTGACATCATAGAATAAAAAAGTGATTATAACTCGGAAACGGTGCATTGAATCGAAAAAATAATTTCAAAAATCTCCCGACACCCCTGGTCCTGATTGCCCCTTCCGCGTTGAATGTAAAAGGTCCGAAGTTCTTACGTGGAAAATAAATTTCGGAAGCAAGAGGTGTGGTGAGGTGATACAATAAAAAATGTCTTATAACTCGGAAACGGCGCGCTGAATCGAAAAAATAATTGAAAAAATCTCCCCGACACCCCGGGTTCTGATTGTCCGTTTTGCGTTGAATGCAAAAGATCCGAAATCCGTATGTCGAACATAAATTTTGGAAACAAGAAGTATGCGACGTCATGTAGCAAAAAGGTCTTATAACTCGTCAAAAATGAATCGAAAAAATAATTTAAAAAATCTCCCCCACACCCCTGGTTCTGATTGTCCGTTCTGTGTTGAATGGAAAAGGTCCGAAGTTCGTATAACGAAAAACAAAAAAGTTAGTAAAAAATTGCAACAGCAGTAGCGAACGCATTATCTTATCTGTAAGGGATCATTGATTGATGATTTGTTGTTTTTTTTTTTAAATAAATTCCGTATTCAGCTACTCCTTAAGGTTCCAGCCACACTGAAAAAACAATTACTTTCATTAAAGCAATAGGTTGTTTTGAATGCAGTTAGTTTACATTTATGCTGGTTAACTTGAGTTAAACCAGTTACATTCAACACAAGTCATTTGATTTGTTTGAATTAAAAAAAGAAACAGTTTACAATAGATTTGTCTATAATTAACAAATTAGATTTAATATAACCATTTATGATTTTAGAATATTTGTTAAGCGAATTAAAAGAATACATTTTTAATACAAATTTATATTCGTTTTTATTTTATAAATATTATTTTATATTGGCCTATCTAACGTTACAATTAAACTTTAAAGGAAAATTATTCCAAATATATAATTTCTTAAATGTGAACCAGCTGCTTATAAAAGTTAAATTTTTATATAGTTTAAAACTATTATCAGTTCAATATTAAAAAATATTATTTAAAAGTAATAATCGTCAAAAAGTCAGTTTTAGATAAGGACATAGTGTTGCTGTTGTAGTTTCATAAATTTATAATAAAACCCAATTTAAAAATTCGAAAATTATTTTTAATCATTAAACTGACAACAACTATGACACGTAGTTTTGAACGATATATTTAAGTCTTAAAATTAATTTTCTATTAGTAGGTCTCAACACTATGTACCTTTTCAAATTTAATTATAAACTTATAGTTAGATAAGTTATCTAATTATCAGTTTAATTAAATTTGAGAATGTACATAATTTTGAGACTAATCAAGAAAGAAATACGTCCAATATTAGTGTAAAAAACAATTCACTTTTTATAAACCATTGATTTATTAATATTAAAATAACCTATTTTCACTTAAAAACTGTTAGTTCACATTAAGCTAAGATATATTTCTAATAATCTTATGTCATCTACATCTTAAAATATGTAGATAAATAATAAAGAGGCGAAATGTGATATTACACTAGAAAAAAAATAACATTCAAATAAGATTTATTACAAAACTATTAACTTATTATTAGTTACTTTTCACACTATATAAGCTAGGCAATATCCAAAACTAGGATTAGTTCATGGCAAACGATATTTATTTAGTCCAAATAAATCCTTTTTTCAGTGCATTTTACAATGTGTTATTTTTTTACCTTGTGTCACAAATACTATTACTATCAATGGCGTCCATGATATGCAACACTTGTGTCAGTAATTATTTTACGTAACTAAAGAAATTAACAATAAGAGAGCAGTACCCATCTAAGGATACACAACCTGTATAATGTAATTTTTTTAAACATAGGTGTTAATATCGTACCAAACTGGAAGTCGACGCACAAATCTAAAAACATTAATTAAAATAAATAATTAATTAAGTAAATTCATAGCTTTAATTCTAACTTGATTTATTTTATTTAGCATTTATCACAAATGTGATTTCCAAACAAAAGATAAGTTCCATATCTTTTTAGTTACATAATTGAATGCATTAAATTTATTTGGCAGTTATCATTTGGCAACAAAGCCACCGCTGGAACTGCCGCCTATTAGCAAGTAGAAGAGTTACCACGCTAACGCTAAATTTTATAGCTGGAAGCCGGCTAAGGAGACCCTGCTTCCATTTTAGGCTGCCAATTTCCATCATTTAACACGCAGTCTGTGGCGGTAAGCTATATTGTCTGTGAGAAAAGTTTGAAAAACAAATTCCAATTATTACTTTTAAGTCGTTACCATGACAACAATGAAATTTGGACAATTAAAGTAATTCATGGTAATGTTCATTTCCAAGTTTAAACTGATATTCAATATATCGGGGTTATACAGGAGCAGACGAAATTATCTATTTAAATTTAATACATTTTTGACAATGTTGCCAAATTTGACATTTTTCCTTCATAATTCGATTCCGATCTCACTTTGTTAAAAAAAAGGTATACCGGAACAACATACATTTATTGTACCAAAAATGTGACTAACATTTTTGTAAATATCTTGGTTTCTATAAAATTAAAAGGAAAAAGATAACTGTTAAGTAGGATGTTCAATATGATATTGCACCTTGGACTTAAATGCATTTTCTGAAATTACTCAAACACCTCTGTTGTACTCAAAAT